GTAAGACGGCAACTACCAAATACCTTGTATATACTATATACACATATATACAAAGTGAGTCAGATCACTTCGTTATTCTTGAAAATACATATTCTGGACACCTAAATTCTAAGACACCTTTTTATTTGAAAAAATCATATCTGAAGCTTACTTTTTGAGTTATTACTAAAAATAGTTGATCTACCATGAGTAGGATACAAGAAGTATGCAGGACACAACTCAGCATCAGACGCGAGCAATTACGTACCCTAATAAGCACATTTGTAAAAATATTGCATAAAAATGGCATCAAGAGTGACGACGATTTCTTGCATTTGTTCATATGCGATCATATTTCTACATATTTGAAACATGACATATCTGAATTTCTTTTCTCAATTATTGGACAGTTTCTTTGTAAAATTAACTTTGCAAATATACTGCTAAGATGATTTGCCATATCGTTATTCTTTTGCCGAAATAGTATTTGGAAAGTAAGTTCGCAAACAACTACAAATATTTCAGAAAAGATCAATGTTTTTACATCTATTTCTTAAAATATGTCTATAATTGCAAATTATAATTTTAGTGAAAGATTTCGTCACATAATTTTGTAAATGGTTTCCTATCAAATTATGCTGCCTGACGCAATCAACTAATTGCTACACACTGTTTTTGTAGTTTTCTCTGTCTCTTTCTTTATCTCTCTTTTTCTCTTAGTTATTTATTTTTTCATTACGAATTTGTATTACGTAATTCGTGCAGTACATAAATTACTGCCACTCACGGTGAGTTGCGCCGCTTCTGCGCATATTGTATAATATATTTATTTAATATATTTATAAAATATCTCTACTTCTCCTATCCGACTCGTGGTACGTCACCTATTTTTATTAATAACTCAAAAAGGAAGCTTCAAACAAAGTTTTGTCACATAAAATGATGTCTTAAAATTTAATCAAAAATATGTATTTCCAAAGATAAAGGGTTCCTCTGAAGCCTTTGTACATGTACATATACATATACATATACTAGAAAACAGGTGTACACACTTGTGTAACCTTAGCCGATAACATAACAAATATACATAAGAACATAAATAGAATGTTGCAAACATACAAATCCACAGTCAAAAACAGGCACGTCATTATAGTTAAAAAGATACTCTATAGAAGTGCTATATAATTGCTAAGTACACACGATTTGCAAGTTTTTAAAGAATTTAAATACAGTTTTCTTCGCAATGTAATTTTTTTGAGGTTTATTTATTTTTTGTTCATAAATGAACTGCACATAAAAAACCAATGATATATTTTGTTGTACAAATGTATTGTTTACGATAGTGTAATATTTGTTGTTTTGGCATCATAAAGACTATAGTATACGAATACTATTTAAAACAACAAATATTCGATATATTTTGTTTAAAACAGTAAGTTTTATAAAAACTATCAGCAATACATGTAAATATTAAATTAAAAAAAATAACTTTGTAATTCTTATAAACATACATATAACTTAGGAAAGAATAAAAAGAATTGCTATATATTGAGATGTCACAAAACTAGTAAAATCTACAATATTTTAGATATGGAACATTAAGTAACACAAAGATATTGTTAAATAATTATATATTAAAACCACTTGGTAATTAACACTGTGTTACAACATAATTTCTTTTGCTTTCATAGAATAAACTCCTGGAAATATTGAATAAGTTTCTTGATGACATATCCTATACACATTCTTCGGAAAATAGTGCCAATAATCAATTCTATCATGAAGTTTTAAAATGGACATGCATCCTTGGTAGTTTAAAGTGCAAAGAACATGTTAATGGAATATTAAACTGGCATTTTAAACATCCTATACAAAACAAGTACGTTATTCTATTTTCTCAATAGCAACTTGACGTCCGTTGAAGTCACAAAGATCTTATCGTGCTACTGGACTTATATGTATGGAATAACACTAATGAAAAGTTATATTTATTTAATTAAATCTTAGATAGCCAACTGAGTGCAATTTGTGGTAACTTGCCACAAATATTGCTCATCTTTTATAGGCAAATTGTGAAAATATTGCACAGAAATGGCATCATGAATAACGACGATCCTGCAATGATTGCACTTAGATGATTCGCTATAACGTAACAGTTTTGTCGAAATAAAAGTTTGTAAATAATATTTGTCAAAACTTGCAAAAAAGTCATTATGCATTTCCATAAGTATATGCATGAATTACGTTGATTTCTTCATATGCAATTATATTACTATACATTTTAAACATCACATAGCTAAAATTTTTTTTTCACTTAGTGAACAATTTTTTTTTGAAATTAACTTTGCAAATATACTGCTAAGATAATTCGCCATATCGTTAGTTTTTTGCCAAAATACTATTTGCAAAATCGTTTTGCAAACAATTACAAATATTTTATAAACGATCAATGATTTACATCTATTTCCTAAAATATATCTGTATAATTGCAAATTAATATTTTAGTGCAAATTTTTGTCACATAATTTTGTAAGTGTTTTCTTTTCAGGGATAAGTTTTCAGCACTGTAAGAAAATAGTGTATTTTGTTTTCAGTACGTTCTTGCCAGCAACGTACTGAAAATTTCTTCGAAATATAATAACAAACATTTTCCAACATCTCATCAACAATAAACTTAAATTATTTTTCAACTTACATTTAAAAATCATTGCTAACATATTGCTCACATTGTGCTCACTCACTTGTCATAAACATTGTTTACAACAATTAGTTGACAATAAAACTCACTATAGTAATACTAAATTAACAAAAACATTTTTGTTGCATTAAATAAATAAACATAACAGCAATTGGCGAGCATCCTTATCTAAGCAATGATTTGCTTTATATTGAGTTTTCACATTTGAATATCTGGGATAATATATTTTTTTCTTGCAGATTGTTGCCAAGTTGGCAAAAGTGGATATATTGTCAAAGACTAATGTTAGACACTGTAACTTATGATACATCTGCTGTGTGGCAAGATATATTCAAGATATACCAGACACAAGGGAAATTAGGACAACTTTTCGAATTTTTACCTTGCTCTAAACACTATCAGGATCGGTTGGTCTTTCTCTCGTTTCTTGATAGTAACTCTTTACTAATACGTGAAAGTAGTTTAAATGCAGACAATGGTTATGTTTACAAAAACATTGTAAATGAGAAGAAAAGTGTTACTGTTAGTTTACTTTTTAATATTTTTGCTATGTATTCAAAAATTATGTCAGCGCTTGATGTTATACTAATCGGACTACAAAATGAAATTGCAAGGTAAAAAGATTATTTTTTATGTAGAAGCATTTTTATGCAGTAAAACGATTATCTAGTTTACATAATCTGCATATTTTTTATAACGACTTTATTCTATATTATTCTCATGTCGTTTTGTATAATGTATAAGAGTAATTTTACATTTGAAGTAAAAATTAGGTTTTTGTTTTCTAGAGACGTGAACATACTAGCAATAATAAATTGTATTATAAACAACATATATTCAAACGACGGTTTGACAAAGGTATGTTGTATGATCTTTTTTATTTTTTGTAGTCATATATGCAAAACAGTATTTCCGTATGTTTTACATATATACAGAGTGTCCGACAATTAGCATAAAATCTCTTGTAGGCAAGAAGGCGAATCTCTCGTAGAAGTAGTAAACTTGTTCCAAAAAGTCGAGAACTAATTTTTTCGGTTACATATAATAAAAAAGTAATTAGTAAATAATCAACCACGCGCTTGGTGTGCGTAAGCGTTCCACGCGGCTCATAGGCGAGCGTCCATTAAAAGGTCTACGCTGAGTAGCTTGATTTATTCACTAAGTACTTTTTATTATTTGTAATAGAAAAAGATAATTTAGGGTTTTTCGCCTTAGGTTTACTTCTTCTATCTGCCTACAAGAGATTTTACACTAATTGTCGGACACTCTGTATATATGTATGTATATAATAAAAAATGTAAAGAGGTAAAGTGTTATCTAGATTCATACCTGATTTTGATATAAGGAAAGTATAATTTCTCAAGAAACAATGGAAAATCATATAGTAGTATATGTGGGTCGGATGCAATTTTGTATGATCGTGTACACTTGTATATGAGTCGAATATGATTTTATATAAGTTGGATATGATTCTATGTGATCGTGTAAAATCAAATCTAAAATTTGGCGATTTGATTTTATAAGATCATATATAAATATAAGAAATTACATACTATCGTACATACTTTTATGTATTTATATATGATCTTATAAAATCAGATTGCGCTAAATTTGAAATTTGATTTTACACGATCTCATAAAATCATATCCAATTTATATAAAATCATAGTCGATTTATCTAAAAGTTTATACGATCATACAAAATTACATCCGATTTACGTATAATTCTATATGCTCACATGATGTTTCATTTTATTTCAAGTTTATATTATTGAATAGTGTTACACGATGTAAGAAAATCACACTAAGTGATAATAGTACATGTTTTTTTTCAGATTGCTAACAAAATATTTTTAAAGAAATTGCTGCATATGCATCACATGGTAAATGTATGTATAGAGTATTTAAATTATTATTGTAATAGTTTTTTGAAATTGGCCGGTTTTTTCTTTTCTTAAAGTATAACCTATTGTTTATATGTAATGATTATATGTAAAACCTATTGTTTATATGTAATTGGTGAATATTATATCAAGTAAAAGTATATTCCGTACTTCATATATTTAATATTTATACACAAGTATTCAGGATTTTACTTAAATATATTTTGTATTCTGTTCTAGGAATCATTTGTTCTCGATGCCATTAACGAAAAAATTAAAAATAGACGTATGTTTCTGTTTAAAATGGAATCTACGCTTTATTGTGAGCCTCAGTATATTTTTAATTTCATAGGTTATCGCGTACTTTTTACCGCTGGCTGCGAATAAGTTTCCATTTTATGATGGATCACTTTTTGTATTCGGTTTTTTTATGACAGTTTACATTTTGAAAACAAACATTTGTAGTTTAAAAATTTTATTCATTTGTTGTGTCTAAATTTTGTGTTTGTTTTTTTTAAGCAAGCTTTATTTTATAGCACTAACTTATACTAATAGGTAGGAAAATTGAGTAAAAGTGGAAATACAGTTTTCGTATTTTACTATTTAACAGTTTGCATATTAGTGATAAAATAAAGTTAACTTTTCAGTGGGATACACTGGAATTCAGTGGGATATTTTATGTTATACGATGGTTACTACGTGTATATATAAAATATATAAACGTGTATATATAATATATAAACGTGTATATATATAAATATATGTGTATGCATATATACAGTATACCATCTTACACATAAATAGAAGTATATAAGTCTCACACAAGATCTAGGTATACAAGTAAAAAATGTAAGAGAAAAATTAATATCGTGAAATACTATTTAATGTTGTATAAGATATGTTAATCATATAAGTTAAAAAACCTTGTAAATTGTTGAATACTTAATTAAAATTTCAAAATTGTAAAATGTTAACTGAGAAGTTATAATTTACGTTATAGTTTATTGTGTTTGTAAGAAAAAAACAGTAATTACGGAATTATTTATAATAAAAATTGGAATTGCAATAAAATAGTTTTAGAATTTTTTCGTAATTTTTAATTCTATGCATTTATTTCTAATACTGTTTTGTGAACACATTCACATATTCTTTTCTCTTCAAATAACGTCTATAGAAAAAAATTTTAGAGAGATGCACGCGTGCGACAAATTTTGAAATTCAATTCTTTTTAGTACAATGTAGATACATAGATTACAACATAAATAATATGGGGTTTTTAACACAGACGTTTATATTGTGTGACACGTTGTAATTTTTTATTGAAAGTACGATCGTCTTCTAGTTATTGATGATTTCTCAAAAATATAAGATCGCGCATATGTGCTTAGACGATACGTTGTCGATCTTGTTGTACCTGTAATTAGCTTGGTTCTTTCAGTACAATTATGACACTTTAAAGGTTTTAAATTTTAATGTTTTAATGATTTACTTTAAGTATTAAGAAGCCAATATTACAAACAATAAAGAATGGAAACAAATTTACGATTGCATGCATATGCATGGAGGCGGTGTGTTTCATACTCTTTGCAAGAAAGCTTCACTATCAAAAAACTAAACACTTAGATTGAACTTTGTTTTATGGAAAGTGAATATTTACACGTACCGTGAATATCTTTCACATTTCGCATGAATTTTTAACTTTTCTCGCAAAGCGAGATTTATTTTTTTACATTGCTGCAGTTTCTTATCTATTAGAAATTAGTTTCTTATCTATTAGAATACAAACATATATTGTAGACAAAAGTTATAAGAAAGATTCTTTTCTACAAGATTGAATATAGTTATTTTTATTGTAGGACCAACTGGTAAGTAGATATTGCAAAACAATATATTTTAAACGTTATTTTTCTAAGATAGCGGCGACCCGCCGTGTTGGAAAACTTGGGATTTTCATTAGAACACCGTACTTTAAGACATGTTCAAAAATCAAAATTACCGGAATTTTTGCAAGCAAAAAGTATATTTTGACTGATTTAGTAGTATAAATCTCGAAAAAGATACAAAACTCGTCAAGCACAAGAAATTATGTGTTCTATTTGAATTAACAGAAATTTCAAATCCAAACTCAAACTCTATTTTAGTTTGTGACATGGTGGAAGAGCCGCGTTTGTCTGCAAATTTATTGCCAACAGCATCATTTGCCTACATCATGTTTTTCGACAATTCGTTTGTGCACACAAATTATTGCTTACATGTCAATTGCCTACAAGCTTGATTGCTTATAAGCTCAAAGGCGCACACATATATAATATACTTTGTCTAGTTTTTCTCACATTAAATATGCAATTGATAGACCAAAAGAATCATATCAGCGCAGTAAGTATCAGAATGTTCACTAAATTAGACGTATTATAATTACATGCTCCAGTATCATCTACTATTGTCACTTGCGCAAGTTTATAATGTTAAAAATTATCACTTCAATTTTTCATCATATAATTGTGGCGATATTTGTTTAATTGCGAAAATGTAATGTGTTTCATAGTACAATTATACATTTAATTGTTTATTTTATTAAAATTATGCTCAGTTTTTTTAAAAGGCACCATTTTTTTCTAATCTATATTGTGTAGATTTGAAACAAATGAGTATTTTCTATACTCTATTTCGCACTCGATAACCGATTAGTTGAGGTTTTCTTTTACATGCAAGATAAAATTTTAAAAAACTTTTACGCGTCTTTTTTTTGTTGCTCTTGCAATAGTTCTACGTGTTTTATTTATTTATAAGGTTAAATAAAAGATTACTCATATAAAGGTTATTCATATATAAGTTATATAAAAGATAAGGTATAAATATTTATTCATATATAAGTTTAAATAAAAAGATAGAGATAAGGCAATAACGAGCTACACCTGATGTTTGCGTAAAATTCTTCTTTATCCGAAGATTTAGTAAAAATACTAACGTTTTGACCCACAAATTTCGTTTGGATACTATTCGGACTAGAAAATGAAATAGGAACCTTTACGAAAAAAAACTACTGCCGATTACATATAAATAAAGTCAGTAATATAAATATTATTGACAATCACATAAGAATATTATTAGGTATTATAAAAATCACTGAGAATATTACTGATACTTACATAGAATGCCAGTAATTTTTTTGTACCACTGCCGCAATATATTACTGCCAGTAGTTCTTTTTCGTAAGGGAAGGTAAAAAGATTCTTTTTATATATAAGGATTTTTATGAAGTAAAAGATTATCTTAACAATTAAATCTTATTAAAGGTCGATACGTTACTAAACTACGAAATATATTTACGGTTATACGAGCCGATCGCAGGATGTTATGCGGAAAACTGCGTATATACACAGTTTGTCCGGAAAGTTCCCGGACTACGTGAATTAAAAATCGAAAATGAAAGATATGGTTTATTAAACAAGTTTACACTT